TATATATATATATATATATATATATATATATATATGTATATATATTTGCCTATGTATATCAAGATGTATTATAATGGATCCTATATGGTCGTGTTCTTAATAGACATGCAAGAAGAGATTCGAACGCCGTTCGGCATTTTAATTTAGAGATTGAGCAGTTTTCCAGAAGGGTGTAGTTGTAATAGTAATAGTAGTAGTGGTAGTAGTAGTGGTAGTAGTAGTAGCAGTAGTAGTAGTAGTAGTAGCAGTAGTAGTAGTAGTAGTAGTAGTAGTAGTAGCTTAAGAAACGCGCTTTTAATATTCAAAAGCACACTTGACATATAATTGGAAAGCTATGCGTGTGGGTGCGACATTATCGTAAACGAGCTGTCTACTGCAATATCTTGGAAAGTGATTTTCTTCGATCTAAAAGGAAGAAAAGAGTAGAAAGAGAAAGGTGGTGGTGTGTTGGTATGGAAGAAAGTTACGGTTGGGTGTGGTGGGTGAGTGGGTGGTTTGAGGTCTGAGGAAAGCTGGCGGGGGTGGGTGATAGTGGTAGTGGTGGTGGTAGTTGGAGAAAGCAAAAAAAAATATATATATACATATATACATGTATATATATATATAAAAGAGAAGGATAGAAAAGAAGACGAGAAAAAAGAGAACGTTGGAAAAGCCGATGGAAATCGAAGTGTAGCTCTGGGCTGTCGCCTAGGGTACCGATCGATGCGTCTCGCTAAACGAACGACGAGTCATTTCGTTCGATAGGTCAGCAGCGATTGCAAGTCGATTCCTTATCGGTCTCTCTTTACTCCTCACCGTATGGTTGGGGCGCGGCACCGTATCTGGGTTCTGCCAAGAGGGGCGCCGGCCTTCCGTTACCCGTCGCATCGTTCTTATGCGCGGTCGATCCTGCAAAAAAGACGAAAAATCATGCGATCCGAACGCTACGGAGTAAACTAATTAATTACCGTTTCTTTTTTTCTTTATTTATTCATTTCCTTCATTTTTAGTTTTTTTTTTTTTTCATATTTATCTTTTTACTTTTCTTTTCTTTTCTTTTTCTTCATTTATTTTGTTTCAATCACAATTATACGAAGAAAATCTATAGATTTTTGTAATGTCAGTTTAATAAAAAAAAAAATAAAATAAAAAAAAATAAAAGTAACAAATAAATCTATTTTTTGATTTATTTTCGGCATAAGCAACAAATTTTATTTCACAACGGGTTAAAAAAAACCAATTGCAGAAAACTTCAAATTTTCCGTGTGTTTTGATCTTCTAAATTCTGTTTCTGAAATAATAATATTAAGAAAAAAAAATAAATAAAGAAATCAAAAATAAATAAAAAAATTAACAAATAAAAATAATAAAATGCAAGATACATATACGATTGAACTGGAACATATAACATATACGGACTTGTCAAAACGATCGGCTCTTTTGAAAATGGACCAAACACACCGGCGGATAAACACTAAAAAAAAAAAAAAAAACAAAAAACAGAAAAAAATTACGAATCGCAATACTTAGAAACTTCCACTTTTCGTCTTTGACGTCATCAATACGCGGTGCGCAATGACCCGAAGGGAACCTTAACGATGACTGAACGTTAAACTCGACCTTCTCAATATACACATACATACACACATATATATATGTATGTCGCTAGGTGAATTATTATCGTTGAAAAGCGAGATGAAATTTTTACCGAGTAGGAATATCTAAAGGACGATATTACGGAGAAAAAAAAAATTAGGAGAACATAAAAAAATAATAAAAAGATAGAGAGAGAGAGAGAGAGAGAGAGAGAGAGAGAAAGAGAGACAGATAGATAGACAGACAGACATATAAACAGACAGGCAGATAGATAAAGATAAAGAGAAAGAGAGAGAGATTAAAACGCGAACAAAATGTGGGTCCTTATCTGTCGAACTATTGTGTGTGTTTGCGTGTTGTGTGTGTATCCCTGGTTTTATATTTTATCCATGTTATTTTTTTTGTTTTGTTCGTCTCTTCTTTTCTTTTTTTTGCATTCTCACTAGGTCGAACGATGTCGAGATTGAAAGGAAATGAGTCGGGGTAGTATATGGGCGTTGTATGTACTTGAACCTACGCTCTGCTATCACGGACAAAATTAAACGTCGAACGTGTGCCTGTGCCTCACTAATGGAGGTCGCTGTCCGTTCTACAGGAGGAGAGACGGACATAGTTTCCTACTCGTCTCTTGTTTCAGGTCAACTATTAGAATTATCTAGCATCGAATAGGGGTAAGCGAAACGCGCGCGAACTTTCCTTCAGAGACCAATAAAACTGTTACAATCGTATGTAACCAGATTTTAAGAGGGACTTATATGTACTCCTCTTCCTCCTCCTTCTCGATTTTCTCATTCAACGACTCGGTGGTTTCATTTTGATCAGGTATTGTTACTATTTAACTTGGAACGTTTCCATTGATATAGTTTCACTGATGCATGTCACATAACTTTACCATTTCTAGGTGGGGGGATTGATGCTTTCATTATTTTCGTTATTAAAATATTGACAAATGTATCAACATATTTTGATTATTATAATATAATCAAATGAAACAATGTGCAAAGTTACAAATATTAGAAATAAATTGAAATTGATTTGTACCTTGATCAATTTTAGATAGATTTAATCGTAGGAGAATAAAAATGCAAAGCGAACAAACTATAAATGGAATATTGAAAACAATTAAAAAAATATTGAATTGGCATCATCGATAATATCGTATCACCACTGTGACATGTGTGTAAGAAGCATAAAATCGATCGAACGATGTTTTTTTAGACTAATGGATTGAACTTTTTTTGGAGGGGAAAAAATATGTGTAATTCTCTGATGAAATCGTAGAAACTAATACTCGCGAATCGTAATATGAAAGTGTATTTCGTGTTGCTAAGGACAACGGTCGTTAAAGAGACGTCGATATCGATTGCTGTCGCTTACCGAGCACGTTGTTATGGGGGTTGTGATGATATATCGTAACCAACCATGTACGATGATCATTCGTCACTCGAGAGTAACGGCAGTAGCACCCCTAACGATCCTAGTAGTCAGTCCTGTGTGTTCGCACGTTTCAAAATCGTTGTGGTGGGTAGGTAGATATAGGGGTAGGTAGGAGAGTGGGTATTTTCTACTTGTTAGCCACGTTTCCAATCCTTTTTATAGTATTTTATTTGTTTCCTTCTTAAAGATAACAATGGCGAACGAGAAATCGTCGATGTGGTTGTTGTGACGTGTAAAACGAGTAAGTCACATCGATAACAAAATTAATGATGACCGAGTTATACTTTTTTTTTCTTCGTTTTTTCAAATTTTCATTTCTTTTTATTTTATTACTATAATTATTTCTTCTTCTTTTATTTTTATTTGATTTTGATCTGTTTGATTTTTTTATTTGGTTTGATCTGACTAGCAAACGTTGATATTACTAGTGACGTTTACATTGTGCAACAAGGCACTAAAAATATGAAAAGATTCATTATATATGAGTTTATGAAATCGTTATTAAAACTATCTCTTTATTTTTTTTTTAAATTATCTGAGACTTACATGTAGACAGGTTATCTCTAAAGTTATGGATCAACTTAAAGGATTCCATAAATTGAGTCATTTGCACAGATAATTATAATAGTGGACTAAGTAACAAATTAAAAAAATTAATAATTAATTTTATATAAAAATTACATAACAATTACATAACAATTACATTACAATTACAAATTATATAACAATTATATTTTTCAATTATTCGTAAGACACATTTGCTTATATTTTTTGATTTAATGCATTGTCATAATTATTGATACCTTTCTATTGGTTTTTTCTTTTTTATAAGGAAAATTATTTTAGTAATATTAGTTACAAACACTTTAGTGAATTTTCGATAGTTTTTTTTCGTTCGATCCATGACTTTTGTGACACCAAATATATGCAATTTTTTAATCCAATTCTATCTAATATTACCATAACGATTCACGAAGAAATTTCGTTTGTATTTCTTCATGATTAATTAAAAAAAAAAAAGAAGAAAAAAATGGAGAGAACTGTTTAATTATCTTGGATAATCATTCCTAATTTTAAAAGTTTTCCCAACTTATGTTAGAAGATCCTATTTTATTTAATTAAAATATCTGCAACTCCAATAGGTTTAATTCGTTACGTACCTCATAATACGATCATAATTCATAATGTTAATTTAAAAAACAAAAGAAAACAAAAATTAATTTTATCAACAAATATAATACATCAGCTTTCATTTGACAAAATATCGTTGGTTTTTTAAACTGAAATCTCTGAAAAGCAAGCATGCTTAATTATCGCACGAATTACGTGATAATAATTCAATGCTTTTGTTTCTTTCGTTTAAGCTTGATTTTTATCTTAATTAAATATGATGAAGAGGGAAAAAAAGAAGCTAAAAATAACATATGATTTTAATTAAAAAAAAATAGTAACGGGTTTCGGCTTTCTTTCGGTATAAAATATCACTGTGTTCCCTAATTGAAATTTCGAAAAAAAATCTTATCACCATTAATGTAGAAAAATTTCTCAAAAAAATGTAATAATACATTTAATTATAACGTATCTTATATACGTGAAAATAACTTATTGTTCATATTTTATTTCGTTCCATCAACTTCTCGTCTTAATTAAATATATGAGAAATAAAAGCATGATTTCAATTAGCAAAGTGAGCATTGAATTTCAAATTTACTTTTTTAGTAAAATTTCTCAAAAATTCTAAACTCAATTTAATTGATGTATATTTATTTTTTAAATAAAAATTCACTTGTCGCTACTTTAATACAAATTTGTAAAAAATAAAGGATTTCAAAATTTTCATGAATAATTAAAATATGAGTTAAAAGCTATTTTGTTAATTATAGAATAAAATTAATTAACAATAATACATAAATTATCGAGTTCTCGAATATCTATCGTACTAACAAATGTTATTTAAAATAACTTTTTAATTAAGAACAACACAATCATTCATATTTTGAAAAAAAAGCTGCACTTAAAGCAATAAATTATGACCGATATATTGTAGAAAAATAAAAAAATAAAAACGAAAAAAGCAATATACCATTAATGACTAGGCACATAACTCATGGCCAGTGGTGTCTCTATTTATCACAATCTCGTTCGAACGATTTAACCGTACAATTAATTAAACGAAAACAATAGAAAAAATAATTAAAGGAACGAACAAAAATAGCACGATAAAGAAAAATCAATTTTTATCAGTAAATGTAGCGAAGAATGTAAGGTTTTGTTTCCATTTGATAAAATATATTATGTAACTGCTTCCGACACCTTTCCGCATGTGACGGCCGGCCATTTTCTCGCAGCTATGGCGATCCCAGAGAGATCATAAATAAAATGCCCTAGCCATCTATCTATCGTGTGGGTACCAGAGAGGAGGAGGAGGAGGAGGAGGAGGACGGAGAGAAAGAAGAAGATGACGATGATGAGGGGGTAGGAGGGGGAGGAGGTGGTGCGCGAAAGCGTTACGCGTTCGAAGTGCCCGACTAACTCTATTTTCGGCCTAGCTTCGAGCTACGAACGGAATCTCGAACTCCAAACCGTTGATGGTTAAGAAAAAGGGAACGTAACGGATTGCGTCTGGGTTCTGAGCCTTAAGTGCAATAGGGTATATATATAGGGTGTTCCAGCAACTTTTAGCTAACACTTTTCACATACATGATTTTACCAATAACGAAAATTGATAACCACAAAAAAAATTAAGATTTATAAAAGTACTTTGTTTACGAGTTACATTTACAATTAGTTCAAATTTTGTTATTTTTTATTTTACTCTCAAAGATTTTACTAAGTAAGGCGTTGCGATTAAAGTTTCTATCATAGGCGTAATTTGT